CTGTATATCTGTATATTAATTCTATTATAATTTTATACATTAGAATTTCACAGTTAAATATGTGTGTGTGCGTGTATATATATATATATATATATATAGAATTTTTTTTATTAAATGTATTTCTAAAAAATAATTTTAATCAGATTTCAAACCACATATGAATGTGGTTCAGATCAGATTTCATTTGTTTTCTTTTCACTTTTCAGACTGTACAAACAACTAAATGGTTTTAAAAAAAAAAACTCACTTTTATTTTACTGTTTAAACTTTATAGGGCTGTCACAGAGACACAGGACAGTTATTTCCACATTGTAATAGAAATTTTAAAAAAAAATTCACGGAGTAGGATCATTTTATGCATACCATTCTATAAAAATATCTCTCACAATACATTTAGAACAACACTAAAATAAGAAGAAAACTATTGAGCGAAGAAACGCTAATTAAGCAGTGTAGCTAAAAGCATAATAAAATAACTCTTGTGGGCTTGCAAAGAATGTGACTCCATAAGCCCCTGCACACCTGCACATCAGATCCGGGTCTTCTGAGAGGAATTTTCACAGGGACAATAAGGAGTCTATTCTGTCTCCAGGTAGAGACTTAAAGGGGTCATATGATGCGATTTAAATTTTTCCTTTCTCTTTGAAGTGTTACAAGCTCTTGGTGCATAAAGAAGATCTGTAAAGTTGCAAAGACTAAAGTCTCAAATCCAAAGAGATATTCTTTATAAAAGTTTAAGAGTCAACCACGCCCTCCTGAAACGGCTCGTTTAACACGCCCCCACATATCTACATCACGATGTGGGAAGATTTGCATTACGCCGCCCAAATGTTCACGTAAAGAAAGAAGGCGTAACTTTTATGCTCGCTGTAGTATTGTTGCCACCGCCATGTCATGAAGGCGCTTTGTTTGGCCTTCCAAAAGAGGACGATATCCGCTTCGTCGTGCCTGGAGCTGATCCGTGCAGGCGGTAATAAATGATTGTCTACTAAAAGAAAAAACAGACAACGTTTATTATCAGCACATGTCAGTGGCCACACAGCACTCCTACACACCTCTTGTAGGCTTTAAACAAGACAGCAAAAAAAAAAAAAAACTCAGACCTCATTCACTGAAGAACGAAGCTGTGCTGGTACATGCCTGACCTTTAAGAAAGTCAAAGATCACTCTCTCTAGGTCTCAGGTCTGGATCACATCTGTCAGAAGAGCATGTTGCCGGCAAGGTTTCCAAATTTCATTTTCATTCAATCACTGCAAAAGGGCAATTTACAAACCACACATTCCGCTTCGGCATGCACATTTTGAGATATCGATCCCTAAACTGGAACGGAACAATTAGCAGTTACATTGTGTTAAAGCCAGGGAGGATTTGAAGAACATCCTGAGGGACCAAATAGTATTCCACCGTCTCCCTTCACCTATACAGATATAAACAGAGTGAGCTTTACATTCAGGGTTGATGGGAAATGCCTGGAAACTCTCGTCTTGATGGGTAACATTAAAACAAGTCCGTCTACCATCAACTGTACATTAATGGACATATTGTTTCAGTACGTTACACTGGCAAAGGTTCAATCGCTAATGCAACTGTCTGCAGAGGATGCATTTCTCGAATCAGAGCATAGATCTGTTTTGATTATGTAAATGGAGAAGCCTGGAGATGTGAGAGCTAATTCAGCAAGTCCAGTCAACTCGGTGATAAAACAATTTGTTTGTGCATTTAAATACGTTACATATGTAATTATACTAATGAAAAGTTATAACATCACAAATCACTGCTGTATATTAAACTTTTTAAAAAATACACAGAGCAAGACACATGGCTTGGACAAGGAGGCTTTCTCAGACATCAGACGGGCGCAAGGAACAAGATCACAATCTGCACAAACAAATCCTCAGATTTCTGATGAATATTCACACTGACGCACTAATCAAAACGCCATTCGATCCAATTAAGCCTTTATTATATTGGAAAGAGACGTGATTCATTTATAATCCACCAGTCCTTATGTCATTGTTAATATACATACTGAAAAGCCATTTCTATCATGCACACGTGCAAAGAATCCCTGTTCATGTATTTAAATGTGATCTCAAAAGAGGAAACTGTGGATATATTCTGGCAAGAAGTCACCCACACAGATGCATCACGCCCATTTGCTTAATAAGTGTCACAAAGAAAGAAAAAGAGAGGCGTTATACCATGGAAACTTAAAAATACCCGGCAATTAAAACAAATGGAGAGGAAGCGGAATGCACACACACATACGTTCTTGTAAAAGCCTGTTTATACTAGGCTGTGTTAACAAATGAATGATCCGCAAAGATCGTTTTCCTCGTTAGGTACACTTACTGACTCGGGTTCTACAGGTATGTTGCCGTGGCCACCGGCCTCTGTAACCTAAAAGCTTTGGAGAGGGAGGTGGCGTTGCAGGGGAGAAGCCGCCACAGAAGGCTGGTCATGCCTGTGAATGAGGATCATTCGAAAAGCAGCTCCAAGAAGCCTTTAACACGACTTTCGGCTACACTCCGAAAAAAGACATCAGAAGAAGATCTGTTTGGCATCTGAGGGATTCTGCTCCATTGGACAATATGGGCATTTAAGCCTGAGAAGAGAGAGTTTACGACATTGTAAGCAAATAATCAATACTGCATAAAAGATTCATTTCCATACATTTATTT